TATAGAATCCCTAAATCCGAGTTCAAATTACATCCAGAAATACTCGCCAACTCCCCAAATCTTTCGACTCTCTGCCTTTGAATCTTTCGGACAAACCCACGATTCATTTTCTAGACAACTATCACAGGAGGATGGATGAGGAGGCATCACAGGCAGAATGGCAGCCCGAAATTCCCAAGAAGGATTTGCTAAACTAGTTTGGAAAGTATCCTCCAAGGTTTCCGTTCTACCATTACTATGTGTTCACCAAGTCTGATGAATTTCTCGTCTCTGAAGTCAACTAGAAAATGCGAAGGTAGAAGGAGATCACGATGGCTGACATTCCCGACTTCTAGACGGGTTTCGAGCTCTATATAGGATGGAGACGCTATGGGAATAAATGAGTATGTTATCCTCAATCTTTGTAGGTTAACTGTTTTCTCGCGTGTATTGTTTGCTAAGGAAGTTGAAACATGTGATCATTTGTTTTGTTCCTGCTTATATGCAAAATCAATACATGGATTTATTTTTGGATGGATACAATATGATATTTCTTTTAATTCCATTGCTGTGTTGGGGCGGAAAATGAGGATGGGGAAAAATAGGAACGATTGTTGGTTCATTGCTACATGTATAGCTGGCTCTTTTATGTCCAAGGCAGAACAATCCTATTTTTCCCCACCCTCATTTTCTGCCCCAACACAGCAATGAAGTTAAAAAAATATCATACTATATCCGATAATCCAGAAATAAATTCATGTATTGATTTTGCATATGAGCAAGTACAAAACAAATGATCACATGTTTCAACTTCCTTAGAAAACAACACACGCGAGAAAACAGTTAGTTAACCTACAAAGATTGAGAATAACATACTCATTTCTTCCCATAGCGTCTCCATCCTGTATAGAGCTCGAAACCCATCTAGAAATCGGGGAATGTCAGCCATCGTCATCTCCTTCTGCCTTTGCATTTTCTGGTTGACTTCACAACGAGGAATTCATGAACACATAGTAATGGTAGAACGGGAACTCGGAGGATACTTCTTAAACTAGTCCAGCAAATCCTTCTTGTGAAATTCAGGCTGCCAATCTGCCTGTGATTCCTCCTCCTCCGTCCTCCTTGGATAGTTGTCTAGAAAATGAATCGTGAGTTTGTCCCAAAAATTCAAAGGCAGAGGGTCAGAAGATTTGGCGAGTATTTCCGGATGTAATTTGAACTCGGATTTAGGGATTCTATACAGAAGCACATAGCATGACAAGGTCGCCTCTTCCATGGGTCTTAAATTTTGGAAAGAAAACAATGTAAGGAAAGAAAAGATTGAAGAGAAAATGGAAAGGAGAGAACAACGGGGAGATTGAAGACTAGGGTTGACACTGTAAACTCTCCGCCTCTTCCCCTCCCATTTTATTTTATTTTAAACCCTTTTTACGCTAAACACACTCCAAAAAAACAAAAACAAAAAAAGAAACATAGCCACGTGTAGATGCGGACGTGAAATAAAATACTCGTTACTTTTACCCCGTATTTACCAAAGGGTTTAATTTAATTCCAAATAAATAATATTAACACCGTCTCAAAATAAGACTCCCATTCAATTTTGGCTGAAATTATTTTCAAATTAATATAAATAAAAAGTTTTGTAAAATTAAATATTAAAAATTATATATTAAAAGACTTCATCAAACTTTTGTACAAAATAATGGTGATAAGATTATTTTATTTTATCGAATCATCGATTAAAATGTATAAAGAAAGTAGAATTTGTTTGACATGTGAATAATAATTGTGAGTCCTTTTCTTGGGACGAAGGTAGTAAGAAGAACAAGATTGAATTTCTTCCTGTTTTTTCCAACCCTTTCTAGTTTTTTTCCAACTGTTTTCTAGTTAGTTTAACAACAACTTAGAGAAGTATTTACATATGATAAAAATACAATACCATCATATATCCAAATTTATAAAATATCACCCCAAACAAATACAAAAATGATTCCTTATTTATCCAAAATTAGTTTTTTACATATTTACTTGGCTAATTATTTAATTTAGTGATTTTTTAACACTTTATGTTTTCAAACATTTTCTAATTTTTTCTATTTTTTCTTCCTACACCCAATTATGTTATTACAACCGAAACAAACTGAGCCTTATTTTGTATAGCTCATGTTGTAGGATGAAGCATTAATTATCCTATTATTAGTTAATATATATACTATATGTAGTGGGGTAATTTGTGGTAAAAAAAAGTGATTAGATACTTATATCATAAATTGCGAGACTAAGTTTTCACTTTTGAGTTTTGAATAACTTTTAAGTTTTGTTTAAGTTGTGTTGTTTTACTATTGGCACCATGACCCTTGGAGTGTTTGGGATTTGGAATGACTTCTCATCTATGTTTTTGTTTACTACATCGCTTTTTAGATCAAGTAATCTATTGGTTTTTATAGAATTTATGCATTATACATGTGCGAATATTAGTTAATTAATATTGTGTGACTATTGTCATGTGGCGATGCCATAATTGCGCCATCGCCATGCGATATTGGCCCATCGCCATGAATGTCGCCATGCATCATGACAACTATGGTGTTACATGTACCCCAGGCTCATGTCTGACGATAGATTTCGTAGAATCGTTCATAATATATATTTCTGTAGCTAATATTGTTAGTACCGTTAAAATATTTCCTAGGGGTAATATTTATGTTAATCTCACAAAGAACTAGGTTATATGTAACATCAAGGATTCGTAAGAATGCATTAAAATATGCTAAGGCTGGATAAAAATTGATGTTGGAACGACGAACACGATTCTGCAACAAACCATTGGGATCGACACGGTCTACCGCCCAGTGGAACGATCAAGTCTGAAGCATTAGATCGCAACTGTCTCGACGATGGTCGAACATTGCAGACGACAGTCCACCGACATGTATCGTCCGTACTGCTGCACCGAAGGGTCAGAACTGTTGGAGACCCAATGGTCAACTGCCGTACCCAAACGGTCTTACGCCTTGACCGTTCGTCCATTAGCTTAGTCACCAATACCCTTAGTCCTTTAGCTTAGTCTATCTCATCATCTTCCTCACAACCCACCCCTCTAGACTCAGACCAAGCAAATCACTCCGCCCAACCAATCTCGACCTCCTCCATCATCCATCTGTTGCCTAGTAGCTCAACGCAGTCCCTAGCAACGTCCAGCCTCCACCATCCCTCAACAAAAAAACCCTTCGGTTTCAAAAAAAAGTATAAACTCCTCCAATCTTAAACCTTAGTCCGCCTCAAATATAGGAAGAGAATGGAATCTAGCTTGAAATCAGCACATGTGTTGTGAATGAGAACCGGGATGTCTTAGGGATCAAAGGGACGTGTTTGACTTGTAGCCCTCGAGATCGGATTTTGATCTAGACTTCGCGACACAGTTCTGATGTGAATGTTGTGAAATTTCAATGGTGGTGAAGAGTCATATTTGTGGACTGCGGGTTGGATCTGCAGAGGCCGATAAGAATGAGGAGAGTTTGAATTAAAGAAGAAAATCGGGAGGAGAGATCAAATCAGAGGATGAAGAAAGGTTTGGTATGGTGGAAGGAAAATATCGAGAAGAGATTGAATTGAAGACGACTGCTATTTGAATTTGTGAACGAGGGCATATTAGACTTTTCATTCTATTTTATTTGTCATTTAAGGAAAGTGGACAAATATTATGGGACGGCTCAAAAAGAAATATTGGACGAATGCGAAGGGATAGAGGGAGTAAGTAATATGAATTACTTCCTCCATCCATATTTTGATTACAAAATAGGAATTACGAGGTAAAATCTCACAATTTTTTTGAATCGTTTTATTTACAAATTCGCACATCTGCCTGTGATGCCTCCTCCTCTGTCCTCCTTGGATAGTTGTCTAGAAAATGAATCGTGAGTTTGTCCCAAAAATTCAAAGGCAGAGGGTCAGAAGATTTGGCGAGTATTTCCGGATGTAATTTGAACTCGGATTTAGGGATTCTATACAGAAGCACATAGTATGACAAGGTCGCCTCTTCCATGGGTCTTAAATTTTGGAAAGAAAACAATGTAAGGAAAGAAAAGATTGAAGAGAAAATGGAAAGGAGAGAACAACGGGGAGATTGAAGACTAGGGTTGACACTGTAAACTCTCCGCCTCTTCCCCTCCCATTTTATTTTATTTTAAACCCTTTTTACGCTAAACACACTCCAAAAAAACAAAAACAAAAAAAGAAACATAGCCACGTGTAGATGCGGACGTGAAATAAAATACTCGTTACTTTTACCCCGTATTTACCAAAGGGTTTAATTTAATTCCCAATAAATAATATTAACACCGTCTCAAAATAAGACTCCCATTCAATTTTGGCTGAAATTATTTTCAAATTAATATAAATAAAAAGTTTTGTAAAATTAAATATTAAAAATTATATATTAAAAGACTTCATCAAACTTTTGTACAAAATAATGGTGATAAGATTATTTTATTTTATCGAATCATCGATTAAAATGTATAAAGAAAGTAGAATTTGTTTGACATGTGAATAATAATTGTGAGTCCTTTTCTTGGGACGAAGGTAGTAAGAAGAACAAGATTGAATTTAGTTGTTATATTTAGGGTATGTTCATTTGGCTTTGAAAAAATCAACTTCCAACTCTTTCTAATTTCGTCCTGTTTCTTTCAACCCTTTTTAAGCTTTTTTCCAACTCCTTAGTTAGTTCAACAACTTAGAGAAGTATTTACATATGATAAATATACAATACCATCACATATCCAAATTTATAACATATCACTCAAACACGTACAAAAATGAATTCTTATTTATAATGTAAAGATTGTATTATGCGTAATGTAATTAATGCGATTACAGAAACGCGGATTTTTAAAAAACAGTTTTTTTTAAACATTGAAATTGAGCGTTTTTTTTTGTTAGAGTAGTGTACCTTGTTCTTGGGTTTTTAAATAAAATTTCTTTTTAATCGAAAAGCATTAAAATTAATATTAATATGACACGAACTAAATTCGCTATCATGTAGTTTTTTTGGGTATTATTAACACATTAATCTAATTAAATGTTAAATTTTTTTTGGTCATATATTTATTTATTTTTTTTGAAAAAAAATTGTAGTATAAGGCTCATGCAAGTGACACGTGTAGGAAAGTAGATATTTGTGAGTTCACCTTCCAAATAAAGGAACTAGACACGGCCAACATAGCATCTGGTAGGCAATTTGCAAAATTGGACATGGGTTCACTCCAGAACTCTACTTTGAAGGTTTGAATTTTCAGTTCAAGAATGGATTTGAGTTATAAATCTTAAATTTAGTATTATTTCTAATTAATAAATGGGTTTTTTTAAAATTTGTAGTTCCCGATCTATTTTCTGTTTTTAGATCTAGATGTGAATGCTGGGCAGATCCGGATTGTTTCTGTTTTTTTGATACTATTTTGTGTTTATTTTAAAGGTTATGAGCTTGCATGTTTTGGTTTAAAAGATTTCGTATAATTTTTTTTCAAATTTAAACGGCAAGTGTAATTATTAAAACTGTTTGCCTTACATTGATTATGCATAAACTTTCGCTTCTCATCTGCGTGTTAATGAATTTTCGTTGACATATGTATTTTTTTCTGTTATTAATATAGGTTGATAGTATTTTTTTTTCCCTCTCAAGTAACAGAAAAAAGATTTTCCTCTAGAATGAGATGTTAGAGTAAGCATAAATTATTTTTTCAGGTATGTTATTTTTCAAATCGCTATGTACATATCCTTATTGAAATGTATTGTTTTGGTTTTAATTATGTGTTCGTTGATAGTTTTGTTTGGTGTATGTGGAAAACATAATCATTAATCATAATGTCCCTGTTGAATTATGTAGCATTTATGTTGTTTCAGGTATGTTTGCTGTTCTGTTCATCTTTGTCTGTTTCTTTCAACTAAATTGTACTCTGTAATATGTATCAGGAAAATATAAGTTCTAAACAACTAAAAATATTATCTTAGGAAAGGCATACCTTTATGAAGGTGCAGTGAAGTTTTTTTTGGGTTGTTCATGTGTTACTATGTTGAATCCTAAGCCTTTTGTAATCTGCGTTTTAAAGCATATGTGCCAAATGAGTGTCTCAAACTTGATTTTGTTTTAAGGTGATAGTTTAATGGAATTATTTTGGTCCAGCAGCAGTACATGGACATTCACTTAATGTTCTTTTTTTTAATAATTTGATATGTTCTGTTATTTTCAAGGCATTGTTTCATTTTGCATTACAAGTATAAGCATAAAAAGTTATTAAGCTTACATGGTTTCAGAATGAGCAAAAAGTTTAGTTTAAAAAGGCTAACATATTTAGGTACATATAAAAGGTTAACCACATACATCATAGTCCTGGTCATCTACTTAAACAATAACAGTAGTGTTTAGGTGCAATAAGGAAAAGCTGAAATAAAGGAACACTGTGAAGTGCAGCTTTTTTGTAAAGTAAAACAAAGTGCTCTTAAAGGTATAAACTTCTCAAACGTTACTTCAATCTTTCTCAATCTTCACACTCACTTTAGGTTTCTTGTTCACCTGCCTTCCAATGTCATCAGTAGAAAGAACCTCCATGGTGTAGGTTAGTGGGGAGGGAACCTTTTACATGGTCAGCAGAGACCCCATCATTTTCGGCACTCCCGGGACCACTAACTAATTAGTGGGGACTATTTACCTAACATATTCTTATCATTATTACTTGCCGAGTATTATTTATTCTCACTGATATCCAATCAAATTACACCAAAACAAATCCAAAACAATTTTAAATATAATTCTTTTTGGATTAGATTTATTTCAATCAGATCGGGTGAAAAAAAATGTTCTAAGCTTCCTCATAGACACACACAAACAATAAATGTGTGCAGTGTACAAATATTTGTTTGTTGACTGTGTGTATTTATGACAAATGTGATGCATAAATATGGTACAAATATTGGTATGCCCCTGGAACAAATCTTTTTTTAGTACTTTCTGTGTCTTAGGCCTTGTTTGGATACTGGCAGTTGGCAGTTGGCTGTTTATGTTGGCTGGTTTGAATGGCTGATTGAGTTAGCTGTTTTGACCGGCTATTTCTGTTAGCTGTTAAATTTTAAGTGTTTGACAACTTTAACTGTTTATAGTTAGCTATTTGTAAGTAAAATTACATAAAAGGACATCCCTCCATTTATGTTAATTTGTATGCATTTTTTAATTTTTCTTTAATTTTCATAAAATACGCACATTATACAAGCAAATACTCTGGACATCGCTACATCTTTTTTTTGGACAAAAAAGGCCACTTCGTTTTTTTTATAATTTAAGAAATGAAAATTTACATTTATATTTTATGAGTACACTTTTTTTGTATTTATTTCATTTGTCATTCTACAAATAACAACCGTGCATGGTATATTTTATTTTATAGTTTTTTTAAATATCATATCGTACGACTCATAACAGAATTTCAAATAAATGTAATGCAATACAAAACATAACATAACTTCAATTGAGACTCATTCCCGAGTTCTTGTACATAAACTTAATGTACTCAACCCGGCTAGTGTCATCGGGTAACGAAAAGAAAATTGTTCTTCGTTGTGGATCTTCAATCATGGAGCAAGCAAATAAAAACTTAGGAGATGTGTGTGACAAATTGGGCAAACAACATAACTTTGTCATTGTTTCTCCGATATCAAACTTTGAAATGTGAGCATTTGAAGTTGTTTTTATCATATCCTTCATCAAAGTAGTGACTTCATTCAGTGATTCATTTCGCTTTGAAATTGCATCCATTATCCCACCAGACATTTCTTGCATGTTTTCATTTTTTCCCTTTTTCAATTTGTTTGTTCGGGCATTTTTATTAGGCTGTGAAGATTCACCCTCAAAAGTCCTTTTTCTTCGCTCATCTTGCCCAACGGGTGGATTGTGAGGTAGAGACTCACTCCATAACTCTTCCCATGAATCATTTTTCACTCTACCATCATTAGTCTCATTCTCATAAAACGTATCACCATCATAAGTACCACGAGGTGGCATAGGCATATAAATATCATCACCCTTACCACCAAGATTATTATGAACACCTGCACCAACTCTATATTCGGCATTTTCATCCTCTTGAATGTGACTTCCTGGAGTGTACTTATTATTTCCTTGTGTCGAACATGAAAAAATCTGCTCCAATTTCACTTCTAGGTCAGGTTCAATCCCTTCATCTTGAAATTGTTCGAACTTGGAGTTTTCCTATAAGTAAAAACAATAAAAAAAATAATTAATTTTACTACTAAAAGATAATGCATTTTTTTACAAAACTGATAATGTATCTATGGTAGCTAAAAAAACAAATCGAACCTGGATTCTTAAAGCCCACCATTCAGCAAAAGCATCAATAGTCCCTTTTATATGATCCCATCCCAATTCTGTAGCTCTTCTCTTAAGTTCTTTCCAAATAACCCACCTTCCTCTCAACCAATCAATCTTAGATTTCAACTTCGGTTTATCCCAAGACAACTTAGCTTCTTTTTGGAAATCACATTCAATCTTCTTCCAAATTAACCTTTGAGATGTAACACCACCATTTTTCCCCTTACTCTTTTCAACGTGTTTAATACAAAGATCACAAAGAATGTAAACTGATTCTTTTGACCAAATAATCCTTCCACCTTTGTTGTCATTGGTGTTTTCATTCTCACTTTGAGATCCTTGGATATTTTTGTTATGATAAGGAGCCATAATCTAACACTAAATAAAATTCAATGTTAAGAAAAGAAATTTAGATAAGCTTTATTAGTATAGTGGTTGATACATACAAGTTCCTTTGTTCAAACCAGTTTTATTTTCTTTAGGGTGCTATGTTAAAAATTCATTTGAATTTTTACTTTTCGAATTTTCCTTAAAGGAAAAATTCGAGAAAAAAATAATGTGGTTTCTTTATCCCGAACACATTCAAATAAACTACAACCAAATATGAAGAATCTGCACCAAATATGAAAAATCTGCACCAACACATTCAAACAAACTACAACCAAATATTCTGTTTTTTTTCTCGCTTCTGTTTTTTGGATGATTTTACAACAATTAGATACGAAGTAAAAGATGAATTGTATGATCCTTGATTAGAGGAATTTTGCCCAGGAGGTTAATTCCAAAGAAGAAGAAACCACTAAAACAAAAAATAAATTAATTTTAGAAACGAAGAAGGGTGATTTAGGGTTTTAAAATTTTTCTCAAATCAAGAATGGCCCATGGGATAAAACTGCAGAGAAGCATAATTCCCCACCATGGTTGATGTTTCGTTTGTGGAAGAACAATTGGAGTCAAAAAATTTTGGATGGTTCTACAACAATTAGATGTAAAAAACAAAATTGCAGAGAAGCATAATCGCATCAAAATTGCAGCAATAAAACAACAAAGAAGCATAATTGCAACAAAAACAAAATCACAACAACAGAGAAGCATAACCACAACAAAAAACAAATTCGCAGAGGAAAAAAACAGAATCGCAGATGTAAAAAAAATATGAAAAATAAACATACCTGGTACCGTGATGAAAATCGAAGAGAGAAATCGCAGCAAGTACTGTGAGGGAATCGTCTCCTTCTGGTGCTGCGAGGAAAAACGCAGAGAGAATTGCAGAGAAAATCGTAGAGAGAACAACGTCCCTTAAGTGAGAATCGCAGAAGGCGAACCTAAAACAAAAAGGGTAAGAAACCGAAAAGTTTGTCAACTAGTGTACGATGGCTTTTCAATTTTTGGCAGTTCGGTTTCAAATTCTAAATCCAAATGCCATTACCCAAACAATTATTTTGGCAGTTTGACTAGTCCAATCAGCCATTTAGGGTCAAAGATGTCAAATGTCAGCTGAACCGCCATTTACCAAATAGGGCCTTAGTGTATTCATCTATTTTAATTTTTTCCAGTCAAACTAGACGAATTTCAGCCATCAATTACTCCCAAATTACATTTTATATTAATATAATCAAAATAAAATTTTAAAAGTTCTCATCATAGTTAATCTAATGAAGTCATTTGTGTACTAACATAAATTACAATTTTAATATAATTGAGGTCTAAATTTCATCTAATTTAACTCCAAAAGGTCAAATTGAATAGGAGGTAGTATCAAATCAAATCGAACAAGTGTTTAGCCTAGCTTTGGTAATGGGTTGTAGACTTTTAGGTAAACCCAAACTCAATAAGCCCGAAGTGTCAATTTAGTAGGCACCCCCTTCCCTCTCTCGTGTGTGTACACAAATATATCTTGAATATATTACATCGGTTATGAATATTTGTCTAATTTTAATTTTTTATAATTAATTAGTTTTATCATTTGACTTAATTTAATAAAAATAATATGGTATTTGAGTTAGATAGAACAATATTTTAAAAATAATTTATAAAATAAATCTAATAAAATTATTTTTTGTATCTCTGTGTAAAATCAATTTTATTTAATCAATGGTTAAAGTTTATCAATTTTGATTAGAAAATCAAAAGTGAGCAAATACTCAAAGACATTTGTAGAATCAAGTTACATACTATTTCTCTTCATGTGTGTATCAAAAAAGAGATGTGTTAGGGTATAGCATGTTTGTACCCCAACTTGCACGCGAAGTATATATCACAGACACATAAATAATAATTAATAACTATCTATGCATTGCATAGATATTTATTATCTATATATGTCTGTGATATAATTGGTGTGCAAATTGAGATACAAACTTGGCTTATCCTGACTTTTTTTACCAAAAAATGATTGGTGTGGTAAAGAAATGGTGATGTATAAATTGAGGTAACAATAGACCCGACAAAAATTACCCAATGTTTTTTACGTGAGACACGATCCGGAAAACATTGTGTTTTGAATAAAGGTTTTGTTGACCGAACTCAAAATGAGCCGTTAAAAATGATCGAATCCAACCTGATCGACCCACTAATCTACGAATTTTTTCAAAATCATGTACCTTACTGTGATATATAATGTTATAGAAATAAGGTTATGATTATATTTTTTCTTGCTACTCATTTTTAATGTATATAAATTTTTAATTTCAGATAAAAATTTAATAATATTGCATAATTATCTTACTTTTTTTCGAAACTTGTATAGTTTTTATTCGTAATATTGATTTATATGTCTAAAAATTACTTAGAAATTTAAAATAAAATACCCTGATAGGTTTAATACATAGTTTTAAATTTTTTAGTTTTATTGCGTAAAGCAAGTTTTAATACTCCGTATAAATTTTAAAATTTAAAATATTAAGGTAATAACCCGTTGACTCGATCTGAACATGCTGACACTAGGTCATGAACACAAAATTCTAAACATGAATCTAAATTGATTCAAACCCAAAGTAACTTGAATTTGAAAGGATTGAACTTGAACACGACTAGACCTGGAAAAATAGAATTAGAATTGATTATCCAAACCGAATGATCCGAAATCAAAACTGAAGTGATCCGAAAAGTGAAGATTTTATTTATAACCAAATAACCGAAATGATTCGAATTGAACCAAAACCAAACTAGTTATATCCATACCCGATTTAAATTCGAAACTAGTTAGATTCGAAACCTGTAAAATGCAAAACTAATAAGATCTAAAATTGATAAGACCCGAAATTGATAAGATTCGTGGACGATTATATCCAAAATTGATCCGAAATAGAATGGAAACAAAAAAATTTATGGAATCAAATTAAATCGAAACCAAAATTAAACTAAACACATCCAAAAGATATGCCAAGCAAATTATTTCATTCCAGAACATATCGATTGATCCAATTGTCACTTCTAAACAAGAAATGACTAGCGGATTTGCGAGCTACAATTAGGTGTACCAAAGCATAACTCGTGTATATATTAGAGATGTCTTGGAGAGGTATATATATCTCATTTACCTCTCCAAATGATCTAGTTTACCTTTTAAAAAAGTGTACAACTCCAATGGGGAAGGTAAATCAAAAGGAAAAAGAGGGAAAAAATTCATCTCCATACATTATTAGGAAAAAATTAGTTGTTTTATCTTCTTAAATCAAATTTTAATTATTAGAAAAGAAAATATACATTCTTAAAAAATCATGAGGAGATAAATTTGAGGTTTGTTGCCTTTATTTCTTCTTGATTAAATTTTTAAATTTAAAGATTTTATAAAAATACAAGTAATTTATTGGGGGGGAAAATTAGAGTGTCAGTTTTGAAATAATTAAATATACATTATGTCTAATTACACATGTAAAACCATAAATACTCGAATAGGAAAAACTTAAAAATACAGAGTGCAAGATTAAAAAACAAAGTACCTTTTTTTATTAATTCTTGACTCGTTAAGTTTTACAATGAAAAAAGATACAAATTAATAATTTATAATAATACATTCAAGCAAAAATACAATAACTAAATTAATTGATGAAATAAATTTAAAAGGTTGGAAAAATTGATATACCTCTCCAAATGAAGAAGGTAAAGATAACTCTTCAAAATTGAAGAAGATATAATACCTTCTTATTTACCTCTCTCCCATTAGAATGTGATTTTTAATGAAAAGAGGTATATATCACAAATATTCCACTTTACCCTTTCATATTCTCTCATTGGAATTATTCTTACGAGTAGGGATGTAAACAAATCAAATATTTTAAATTCGATTCGCGATTTGTATTCGAATATGATGATTCGATTTCGCGTTATTTAAATACAAATTCAAATTCAAATATTATTTTTGATTCGAATATTAATCAAATACAAATACAAATAGGGATATATTCGATTCGGATGATATTCGAATATTCGAATATATGTATATATATACATAGACCATGTTTTCAACATCAAAAGTCAAACAAAGTAATATAGTATAAAGTGTATTTAAAATACTAAGAATTCAATAAATTAACATAACACAAAAATCTAAAGCATATGATTTTTAATAGTTATATTTTATAGTAAATTATAATTTGTGTAAGATGCAAATGTATAAATGTTTTTATAAATGTATAAAATATATTCGTTTATGATTCGATAACTATTCGAATATTAATCAAATACTTATTCAAATCTTATTTTGAATTCGTCTCATATTCGGATTCGTATTCGTATTCGAAAAAATTAAACAAATACAAATTCAAATATATTGGTATTCGCTTCGATTCGGTTCGTTTACACCCCTACTTACGAGTATAGTGAGTATATATATATGGATTATGCTATGTATACCCCAAGGTTTGTACCCCAATTTGTACCCCGCAGTTTTGCACAAACACTTTGTGTTGGTGTAAAACTAATTTTTGTTAAACGCACCAACATTTGTGCCCGTATGAATTTTTATTAACGCACCAACACTTGTGTCGGTGTAAACCATCGAAATGTTTGTGTAAACCTGCGGTGTACAAATGGGGTATATTTTTTGGTGTAAGTGTAGCATGGTCCTATATATATACATCTCTCTCCCATAACTCCCTAACATACTCTCCTGAATCTCCTCTCTCTCTCTCTCCCCCCCCCCTCTATTTACCGCACTTCGTTCAAAATCCATAGCTCTCGACATGTGTTTTACCGCACTTCAATCTCTCCCTCGCGCGACCGCCGCCGGCCGTTCGTCACTGCCATCTTCAGGCCACCAATGCCAGACTCGCTGCAGTCGATTGCGCATTCCTCTTCCCAGGAACCAGTCAACATGCGGGCGGCGCGGCCGCACCGACCGCCACCTCCGAATCCGAGCAATCGACGCCGCCCAGCACAACGACTGCGAATCGCAGATCTCGAACATCTTCCCGAAGTCGAGAAAGCTGAAAATCGCGGTTTTAGGGTTCGGTAACTTCGGTCAATTTCTCGCCAAGGCGTTCGTCCGGCAAGGCCACTTGGTGATGGCTCACTCGCGCTCCGATTACTCCCTCGCCGCCCAATCGATCGGCGCCTCCTTCTTCTCCGATCCGCACGACCTCTGCGAGCAGCACCCTGACGTCATCCTCCTCTGCACCTCCATCATCTCCGCCGAGACAGTCCTCCGTTCTCTCCCGATCCAAAGGCTGAGGCGCAGCACCCTATTCGTGGACGTCCTCTCCGTGAAGGAATTCCCTAAGAACATCTTCCTCCAATTTCTCCCCCATCATTTCGATATCCTCTGCACTCACCCAATGTTCGGGCCCGAGAGCGGGAAGGGCAGCTGGAGGGGGTTGCCCTTTGTGTTCGACAAGGTCCGAATTGGGGACGAGGAGTCCAGAGTGTTAAGGGCAGAGAGATTCCTCGACATTTTCGCGAAAGAAGGGTGCAGGATGGTGGAAATGAGCTGCGCAGAGCACGACAGGCACGCCGCGGGCTCCCAGTTCATCACCCACACAATGGGGAGAGTGCTGGAGAAGCTGGGGCTTGAAACGACCCCGATCAATACGAAAGGGTACGAGACATTGCTGGATCTGGTGAAGAACACAGCCAGCGACAGCTTCGATTTGTACTACGGGCTGTTCATGTACAACAAGAATGCAATGGAGCAGCTGGTGAGGCTCGACTTCGCATTTGAGTCGCTGAAGAAAGAGCTGTTCGGGCATTTGCACAACAAGTTGAGGAAGCAGTTGTTCCGCAAGGCGGAGGAGGAAACGGGGGAGAGAGTTGTGCTCTCAAAGTTGCCTAAGAATGGCTTCTATGCATTGCCATCTTCCATGGGCAAGACGGAGGAAACGGTGGAGAGAGCTAGCAGGCTTTCCAAGTTGCCCAAGAATGGCTATGCATTGCCATCATCTTCTTCTTCCTCTTCCTCTGAGCTTGTGAGAACCTAGATCAGAGCAAATAATGAGCAATTGAGCAGATCACAGACCCTGTACTCTGTATAATAAACCCTTCATTGTATTGAAGAAAGACACATATCATGCATCATCAGATCACAAATCTTAGCCTTCCCCATTAAAAAAATCGGAAACTTTTGTCTATTTGTGTATTTTTGATTGATTATTTAATAAAATAAAATATTTTTGTTCTCTTGTTTCGTAGAATTTTTAACGTAAACTTTTAAATATGTAAATTTATTTTTTATATCTATATTAATATTTAAATAAAATGAATTTTAAAGAACTTAAAATTTTGTTTCTTGATGCTTAAAGCATAAAATGTTTTAGGACGGAGTGAGTATTAAACCAATAAAACTACTCCGTAATATTCAAAGGCTCAAAGAAACAAAAAAAATAAAGTAATAGTAAAATATAGAAAATATACTACTATCTCTGTCCGAGAGTATTTGTCCAGTTTTGATTTTTTTTTCAGTCAATCATTTTCAACTTTTGACCTATAAAAAAATAAAACTAAATGTTGTACTCCCTCTGTCCCTAAATAAACTTCCCTTTTTGACTTTTTGAAGATTTAAGGGACAGATATTTTTGTGTTGACTTTCCAAAAATACCCTTGATGTGATGTGTAAAAGTAAGATGTGATATGTAGATTATTAGTAAAAAGGTATGATGTGATAGGTAGGGTATGAAAAAGTAAGGGGTAAAAGGGGTTTTTTAAGGGAAAAGAGAAGTTTATTTGGGGACAAAGAAAAAACGAAACGGGAAGTTTATTTAGGAACGGAGGGAGTATATTAATTAGATAAGATAACATTTTGAAAATATTTTATATAATAATCCTAATAAACCTATTTCTGTATCAATATCTAATATTATTGTTATTTTATTTGGGTCAAAATTTGTCAATTTTGACCAAAAAGCCAAAAAGTGGGCAAATACTCCAAAATGGAGGGAGTAAAATAGGAAATTTAAAATGCAGGTACAATATCAATAATGTCAATGTAAAATATCAAAAATATAGTCGAATATGCATATACAGTATCACAATAACATAGTGCAAACTCCTATTTTTGAATAAAATAATGGAGCTTCTATTTTGATACTTTCTTTATGTTTAATTCTAATTTAGGATGATTTCTTTAAATAATTTTCCCAATCTCCAAAAAAATTAAGTTCCCGAAAATGTCCTTTATTATACTAGATTTTTCACATATAATTCACTTATGAAAGTATTATATTTGTGGTCTTATATATTTGAGAACTATTCGACGATAAGTCCTTTTGCAGACATATGTGGAAAACTCCTCGAATGTGGAGGATTACCAACATGTGCTCAAAGTACTTGTCGTGTAAGGGCAGTAAGGTCATATGTAATGGCGGGCTTGACGGGGGGCCATGCTGGCACCGTAAGCGGGTAGTTGTGGGTAGAAAAATATGTTCTATGAAGCTTGAAAAAGACGTAATAAAAAAGGGAATTTACGTAAATAACACTAAAACATAATAATTTTTTCCCTAAATAGCATCACATGCGTTTTTTCTCAATGTAGCACTTTTAGTCGTTATTCATTAGTTATTATTCAAGTAAATGTTTACCATCACTGGACATTATGGACATTATTAAATGCTATTTAGGAAATTAAACAGTTTAAGTATTATTTAGAAAATAAATAAAGTTTTAGTGCTATAGAAAGCCACATGTTGATGGGTAATAACCCAAGGATACCACCCGGTTGGTTCACCGAACAGCACGCGTCTTTCTCAGCCCGGGTTATTTGACCGGTTGGATGGGGAGACCAGACGCCAATACCCGAAGATCTACTTTCAAAGTGTACCTGGTGGGCCGGTCTCCCGCCTGACCGGTTGGATAATCAGAGACGTGCTTGACGTGCTTAGGATTATTATAAATACCCTTAAAAGCCTCATTTGTGAGGCATGTTTTAATTAACCTACACGGCTTGTATTTGTAATAACTCCTATTATCATTAATAACAAATCGGGTTACAGGTGATTCCACCTACAACCCTTCCGATTACTCACACTTAATATTTGCGTGGTAATTTACACCATCAAATTGGCGCCACCCGTGGGACCTATTACAAAAAAGTCATGGCCAGTAATCAGGAAACCGGGATTGTATCCACAATCCTCGCCTCAAACTAACGTCATTCGCCCGATCGTTCCGACAAACCTGATCGGGGAGATGGATAAAGCTAGTCCATCCCGGTCTAGAAGGAGCCGGTCCCGTAGG